ATGCCCTCATTTGTGATCAATTACCAAATAAATTATTCTAGCTGTACGACAACTCCAGTTGATAATGTACTCACAAAAGAGGGAATCTACGAATTTTTTTATTTTTTTTTTAAAGTGTGGCGCCCCTCCCATTTGCGTGATTTTTCATGAAATTATTCTTTCGATTTATATTCGCAAGTGTACGGTTCGCAACAAGTAATAAAGTGAAAAATAGAGTCCGAATGTCGTCCCACAGAAATTGAGTAACTTAACTTTATTTATCTCGACCTTAACCAAAACCAAATTACCCAATAAGATAAATGTAACTTGATTAACCCTAACCTAGACTAAATATGCAATTGTATGTGAATTTGATGAACTATAATGCAAAGTGACTTTTTGAATGCAAGATTGATGTAATTAATGAATGTAAAGCACACTAGAATCACAAATCCCCAAGCAATGCTCACTTTTAACCCTAATTCCACAAATTGGCAACACGTTGAATTTTTGAAGAATCAATACTTCTAAATCTATCTAACAATCATTCTCGAGTAAGGTTGAACCTACTCTCATATACCATTAGTCTATAATTTTAATATGACCGATGCAAATATACAAAAATATATGTAGGTTTTGTGTACACTTGAAGATTTATGCAAGGCATAGATTTATATCTCTATTCTCTATCGGACCCTACGATGATTTATATCATGTCGAACTTATTCCCCTTTTTTCGAATGCATAAAATAAGTCACCACACTCACACAATCACAATCCCATAATCATGGAAACAATTTATTGTATATAAACTATTCAAAATTCAAGAAAAGTGTTTTGATGTCAAAATTGCAAAACTAGAAATTAAAAAAATTACATCATAAGGTTCATCGATCTTTTAGTATAGATTTTTCTAACTTAGCATAGAGAAATTAACAAAATACACAATAATTTTAAGAAACGACATCACCGTTGTAAGAATTGGCTTGAAATCCCGCCAACCTTCACATTTCTCTTCATTATTGTGATGCAAAATCTTCTCCTAGAGGTGTTATTCTCTCTCTCAAAGCGTTCTCCCTTTCAATTGATAGCTTTTGGCTTTTTATATCACATCTCGATTAGGTTCCATAAGATTTTGAAGCAAAACACGAAAACTGAAAATCGCGCAATCGAATTGAACCATGCGGTCGCATGGTTCTAAGCATCTTTCAAAAATGACGTTTTTCGTCCCCGAATTCCACTTTTTGCATTTTGGCTTCTTTTCTCATTCTTTCTTCTCCCAATACTTCAAATCTTCAACAAGTTGGCCCTTGAGGCTTTCACATCTTCATTTGTGCTGTCGGTTCATCTTCTGGCTATTTCCAATTTGGTCTATGAACTTTCATTCTTTTCCATCTTGATCCCTTTTCTGCATGTTCTTCCTTCTAACGCCCCATACTATCACCGAATTGGTACTTAGCTCGTTCGCAATCTCGATTTGTCCTTGGGTCATCTTTTGATTATTTGCATGTTAGTTCCTAAACTTTTGTTTTCTTTCATTTTGGCCCCTTTGCGTCTTTTCTCGTGATTTCCAATATATCCATCAATATAATCTACAAAACAAAATTTCATAAAATTAAGTCATATTCAACCACTTTTATCAACAATAAGTCATGTTTTGTAAACCCAATAAGTGTGTAAAAATGCACATATCAGTGATTGTCAACCCTAATTGTACATGTAATATAACTGTTACCAAATAGATCTTACTTTTTAGTGTCTTTAGCCTCAAAGAAGTTGTCATCATCTACGAATTCTTTCACTAACTGAGTTTGAAGCTACTTTATTGACAATGCTAATTAACGAAACCAATCCATTGAAATCATTCAAACATTTAAGTACCCTCTACGTCACAATAATAATTTTGGTACGCAATGTTCATTCTATTCTTCAAATTACATGTAGCTGTTAAACGAATAAGCCAGAAACCACTGTCTCGTCTACAACTTGACTCAACCTCCCCTCCACACACAGAGGAGACAGAAGGGAGAAGGGAGAATGAAACTAAGGTATTACATGATCGCGAAGAAGATAACAATATTTTTTAACTATCAGCAAGACGAGATCATACATAAAATTAACAAAAGAGGCAAATTTTCATTTTCTGTCTCCATTTTGGTCCTAAATAAAGGGAAAATCTCTACTTTTAATATTATGTTATAAAAAGCTAAGAAACATACAGCCTAAGAAAAGAACAAGCAAAGCCCTGTGCAAAATTGATTTAATTTACAAATGAAA